TTGATAATAGTTTGGAGAATCATTTTTTGAACCATTTGTAGGCTTTGGCTGTTTGAGCTGCTGGCACTGCACTAGAGTTCTATAGGTACCATAGATTACTTTATAAATGAATAGCTTGTTGTATAGTGACAGTTTGTTTTATAAATTAAAAAATAAAGGTAAGCACGGATGTTGTGTACTATAGAGCATAGTTTGTGAAATTCATAATTTAAATCTTTTAAGTGCGTATTTTAGATCAGTCAAGTAAAAAATAGATAATAATATACGTTGCACATAGTGAAGTGATTTTATATGTAAATTCTAATTTACATACAAAATTACTATAGGTAGTATTAGTAGGTTATATATACCTCTAGGTATATAACTACCTCCAATTTTAATTTATTATTCTATGATTCGTACAGTTAACAGCACAACAAGCTATACACTTTTGTTCGAATGTCGTCTCCAAAGCAACGGAACAAGATCCGTCAATGTGTAGCTTCATATAAGTACCTAGAAAAATAGAAAGGTCAATATGCAAATTTCCATTGACTACTATAATTCAAATTTAAGCTTTAAGCATTCTCAAATAGATGTTATAGTAGATTGCAATAGCCAAATGGTAATGTAAAAGAATAACAAAAACGGCTAAATGAAATATATATGTATTCTAAAGCATAAACATAAAGTATTCTCTCATCAAACCCCATATTTTCCTTTCATTTACTGTAATTATTTTTATAATTTGGGTTAAAAATGGTTTCAAAGAATAGACGCAATACATAATCTAATAAAAAGTAAATAAAAATCAGTGTAATTTTAACTGCCTCCGTGGCCGATCAGTTATCATGCTGGCTTGCCATGCAGAGGCCCAGAGTTCGATTCCCGGTCCGGGAGAAATATTTGTATGGCCTACACTTATTTCTCTCGTGAGTTTAGGTGCAATATCTGGTCGTCTATGTATATGTCCTTGGCAGCCACGATACTGGGTTTCCCTAGTGTGGGGCTATAAAAATATCTGTTGAAAAACTGTCGTTTTTTTGTCATAGGCAAGTGTTAACCTCTTAAGGCTACTATGAAATATGTATTTATACAGTTTATAACACTTTAATATTGTTATATGGTTTTTGTATTACATTGTTTTTGTTTTGTTGTTTACGTAAGCCCGTTCTTTTAGTTACAGTGGCCTATATTTAGGTTTGCAGGAAGACATTTCTGTTAGAAATAAGCAGAACCTTTTGTTTGTATTTTCCTTGTTTTAATCGCGATTTTTTGTATTTTTTCCTGTACAATAAACTGTTAAATAAAGAATAAATAAATAAAGGCCAGTGCAAACCAGCAGATGGGAAAGTAGAGGACATTAAATTTATCAATTTATATTTTGTGCTATTTCAATTCAAATAAAGTACAAATTGCAATCCTCTGAAACCGGCCTCAGAGCATCGCGGCGCATTTCTCTCTGCGTTTCACCTATGTGCCAAGTTTTATTCAAATCGATATAATCGAAAGGAAAGCGGGTGAAATTCAATAAATCGCAGTCATCCCTAATTTGCTACGCTTAGAAGTGAATATTTTCTTTAAATTTCAAAACACAACTCACAAACCGCCATAATATTAACAGTATGTTTGAAATACATCAGCAAACCAAATCGTTTAGAAAATTTATCTAAAGATTTAGCTTCGTGTTTAATTTGTTTTCTCACCGTTTGTCATTTTTCATCAGAACTTCATCATCAATCCATTTATACATTACGCTGCTGGGCACGGGTCTCCTCTCAGGTGAGGGTAAAGGTTAAGGCCTATACGGCGGACTACGGTCCGCCACACAGGCCCAATGCCGGTAGGGGACGTTACACATTTTCCGAGAGTTGTGAACCTTCTTCGAAATGCAGGTTTCATCACTTCCAAGCAGAACAAGTCGTGCGCCTGAGTGTAAGCTACACGCCTGTCCATAACAGTTGCAGTACAACTCAGAGCTTTAAATCGCAAAGATCTAAGAGGCACTGCCACAGCGCCCGTCACTCTGAGACATAAGTTGACAAGTCCCATGTGCCTGTAATTTCACCAGCACCCTTCAAAACCGGAATACGGTAATGCTAACATTACTGTTTGGCGGCAGAAATAGGTAAGGTGGCAGCACTTCCCTGGACGAACTCTTTCACAAGGAACTCTACTGCCACTACCGCTACTACGTTGTATCGCTACTATGTTCTCCTTCGCTGAGATGCTCATGATAAATTTCAAATTAAATCAGAAATGAAAGAGATAAAACTATGGATCGGCAATGATAATTATCATAATAATAAGAACATAAATATATTCATAATTCCTAACCCTGTTTATTTATCTTAGCCTCCGTGCGTTTCTCCCATCGATTTTTTCATAAACATACCAGTACAATGTTTTAATATATCTAGAGAGCTATTTAATGAATATACGACTCAATGTTTTCTTTAGATACAAACAATGCAACAACCACTGTGTTGGTATGACGTTATTCTTAGGTATTTATGGGCGGCGTCAATTCAAGATGGTGTCAAGAGTTGATATCATCGGTTGATTTTACTGTTCTTACCTGTACAATGCACAAATTCATTAAATGATAAGCAGTTTCTTACCGTTTGTCCACGGTCTCTTTTCTCCCATTAGGGTGAATGAAGACAATAGGCCTGCATCCTGCACCTAACTACGCCCTTGAGGCTTATCAAGGGCGTAATTAGGTTAGCTTTTTTCTTGTGCTTTATTCCCTCCCGTAAGTTTGTTTTATTTTTTTAAATTTAAATAAATTAATTGTTAATTGATAAACGCCTGTTTACAATATGTACAGATTGTTTTAATCTATATTAATTAAACAAGAAAATAACTTTAGCACATTTAAAAATAAAATAACAATTTCTGAATTAAGATAAGATTGTTCTGCGAGGCTCTTTACATAAAACAGCCGAAAGACTTTATACTTACATAAGTTATTGCATTAAACTCAAAAGTACCACTAACTGACCACGCAATTTCAGATTTTCTACAAACACCGTATAGAGTAGTGTGAAAAGCCTTGTTATAAATAAAGAAAAAACTGAACTGTAGTGAAGGTTAATAGTAGATTGTACAACAAGTGCACAAAACGCGTCCTTTTACGCGAGACGAGTATATCTACCCGACCCGCAGGCGAGAGTGGATAAGTCGAGGGTAAAATGGGTTTTATGACGAGTTATACACTCTGCTTTTCACTTCGATTGCGAGGAAGTTAAACATCAATATTACAAATAAACGATTATTAATTAAAATTGAAAGTAAACTTACAACAATTAGACATATTTAATGTGATGGTTTTTTATTTTATGCATTAGAGCATAAAATCCTATTTTATGCAGCCTACACCCAGCATAAATACGAACTTCAAGAGCATGAGAAGTGAAAAAACTTTTTTCAGTTTCCAGCTTCACTTGGAGAATACTGCCAGTCTCTCAAATAAAATCAAATCATATTATTATTCGTCATCATGGGTACAATAAAGATGATAACATTTATTTTATGATCGCCATGACGGGCCATCAAGGCATACGAATTATACTATTATTATTAATTATACTTGTCCAATACTTCCAAATAATAATAAAATAACACTAATAATTATTATTAAATAGTCATAAACCACTGATTATAGGCTTCGACCTTCACAGGACCAAGTCTTAAAATCTACAACAGTTAGGACATCAAAACAAAAGTGATTTAATTAAGATAATAATCAATGTAAATAAATCAATGTCATACAGTCACGTTCGTCTCAATAATAAATAATAAATTAATTAATGTGAAATTAGTTAGCAAAATTCCTTTAATGTATAAAATGATTTTTCAATTAAATACTCAAATAATGTGCGTTTAAATTTCGCGAAATTTTCATTCTGCCTTACCTGTAATGGCAATTTATTATAGATTTTTGGTGCCATTGCAATTATACTCTTCTCAAATAGTGACATTTTACAATTTATTTGGCGTAGTTGGTTAGGACGTCGTGCTCTTGTAACTAGTCTCTGATCAGTCATGGGTTTACTCTTTTTATAATTTCCTTAAAATTATGTTTAACTACTTAACACTGCTCTTTAAGCCTACTTCGGTTTCTAGGACAATACTATTTTGGACCCCGACATGGTTGCGATATTGACGCTTGACATCAACTACCGACATTTTAATTGCCTTGCTTCTGGTAGCTGTCACGTTACGTATATTATAGTATAACTTGACTGTACTTGTTGAAAGAAATATTGAATTTGGTAATGAAAATTTAAATTTAGAACCAGCAGTACAATATCGATGAACTTCCGTTTTAAAACGTACCCTCAAGTGAACCACTCGAACAAATAAAAACACTCTTAAACCCAATAAAATTGTCAGGTCTTTGGTTAAACCATAAACAAACTAAACAATTTAAAAATAAAAGAATTTTGTAGGTGTACTAAAATTTAAAAAACCTTACATTAAAATATTTAAGTACGTAATGTGCATAATGTGTGCCAGTCAATAAATCGCGTGCTTTTTTAAAGATAATTGATGCGTTTTTGCTAAGAATATTCTACAAAGTTATTAAAGTAAACCATTTTTAATACAATCATTAAATCGCAATTTTTTGCCGATTTGACTACAGTTGAGCAAATTTGTCGTAATCTTTTACATAACTTCTTGCATACTAGAAAATTACTATTAAAAACTGTTGGTATATTTATTATTATGCGTGCAAACGTACGACGATTTAAGTAACTAAAATACCTTCATACTACAAAAGCTTAATCAACTTTAAAAACTTTAAAGCAACCTACATATTGGATTTTTTTCTTTTACATTTTATTTGTGATTATTTTATTACACTCTGAGCAATTTAATTGTTTCAATATTCAAAACTGTTTGTTACCACGCGGTTACTTTGATAAGCCACGCTTTTCACAAAAGCTCGTTTAAGCACTGCTTGGTCAACAAGATATTAATATCGCAATGTAAGTTTGTTCGGTACCTACACTTACCGGTAAAAATAGGGTTGACTAGCGGTTCACCTGCCCAGTGTGCCGGGTCCAGAGGCTGCGACGACGTCCCTGGAATGCGACACCTGTGACCACAACACACTCACAGTACAAACACGGAGCACTTCAAATTCCAATACCGTCCAAAACAATCTTCTCTTCCGCACAGTTTCACAATACAAAAATTTAAAATCACGTCTTTCGTTTGTATTTCGAATTATTAGGAAAAAGTTTTGCGCGAGCACTGGGCAAAAGCTATAAGCCTAGCGTGATAGACTCCGAAGAGAACGGCGAACGAACTCAAACTGAGGTGAGTCGGCTCGGAGAGGGGGGCGCGTGGGCCAACTGGGATGCGATAGTAGCGCCGCCGCACCTGTTGTCGGTGTGCGGGCGTACTTTTTGGCTATGCAAGCTTTGAAGTGAACATTCATTTCTTCGATTATGCAACCTGCAACTCGGTAAAGCTCAACCGGGCGTGCAGGAAGAAATGTTGACGAGAATTATATGCAACAAAGCGCGACTAATTGAAATTCTTCGTTATTGCACGATTAACTAACAGTCAACTAACGTCTAACTGATTGTAATAAAATTAACAAATGTAAAAATAAATGTCAAACTCAACCGTTATCGAGTTCCGGCTGCAGTAAATCAGTTTTCCGCGGCAGGTTGTACAATAATCATCAATTCGTGCTGAGTAACTGTTTATGCAAAGCAGAAAGTGTCCGAATTAATTAGCTAACGAATAAAACATTTGTCAGTTTCAAATTGAACTTTGACAAGCGTATCGATTTGCTCAAAATGATAAACTGTTATTTATTTCATTTTGTTTAACATTTAGAAGACATTGATTCGAGCTTTCATCACTCATTTGAGTACACATTTAATTAAAAATTAGTCGTCGTTTCTAGCTGTCCCATCCCTGGGCATGAGACATCTCTACTGTCGATTCCTCTACAAAACTTTACGTTTACGTAGCAAAATTTCAGAAACAAGAATCGCCAAGATAGTCGACTATTTTTTTAAAACTATTCTGAATCGACAGTTACATTGGGTCAGATCTACTGTTTTTTACGTGTCATAATTTTTTTATTGAAAATGGTACCTATCTTAAGTGATTTACACATTACGCAGCATGCTAATTTGTAATTAAATATTTATAGCGTTACGTGTATCTAAGTGTACCTAAACAGGATATAATTTAGTTTAGCTCTACTCGTTTTATATCGATTAATTGCGTGACAGGATTTACTGTATTAACCCATAGATTTACGTCCGTATTGGGGACGTCAACGTGCAATTTACAAAGCATTCTAGTTCATACTTGAAAAATTGACGGTTTTTTAAGCTTTGTGTGGCCGAGTGTACCTAAACAGGGAATAGTTTGGGTCCACTCGTTCTGTATCGATTTATTATTTATTACGTAACAGGATTCACTGCATTTTCCCTGGCAATATAGCAGCCGATGGACTTCCTCAGAGAGTTGGTATAGCCTTCCATTTCCACCCGCAAACCCAATGCGTACTGGGGAAGTCACACGTCCTTGGTAGAGTGGTAGGATTCAGGGAAAAAAAAACAAAATTATATTACTTATTGTATCTTTAATTCATTTTTACGTGCCTTTATGAATAAATCTTTATTGTGTTTCATACGGTATTGCTATAATATGTAAGGAAGGAAACTGAAATTACAATTTTATAGAAAATATTGCGCTTCTACATTAAATTACAAGTGTATGGCACATACTATAATACAAAATATACAGGAGTATATACTATTAATTTAATCTAATATCACTTTAGTTAATGATATAGTTGGTGATGCAGATGTGGGAGTATCGTAGCGACTAGCACCATGAAATTTCCAAGTATACCTGTAACCAAAAATACCTCTTAAAATGTTATGTCGCTAAGATCTATAAAGCACTCACACATCTGTTATACAGTGTTTTTGAACTTAATTAAATTATTTTTAGAGCGTGATCGCAACGATTCTCGTTCAAGCTAAAATGTCCTAAATCTCCCCTCGTAAATAAAATTTTTTATATTTTTTTTCTTTAGTTCTACAAGCAAATGTCGCCGTTCTGTTAATGTGACCGTCAATATGCGGTATTAAGGGAGCGACGGAGAGTGACCATTCTCGTTACTTTTTATTCTCTTAAAAGTTTAGTTATCTACTGCATTTTACTGGCACCATTAGAATTATTTTAAAATGCAACTTCTATATCAGTAGTGTCCTAAGATGCAGTAAAACCATTTCTGGAAATCCGGAATTCGAAACAGTAATTAATTAATATTTTTACAACTCTATGTCGATCCTTGCAGCTCTATCTATACCTACATGTATCTATCTAAGCACATATCAGTGCCTCCAGTGAAAAACGGAATAAGACGAATTATGCCCTTTTGTTTTTGTTGTACCATTGGCTTCAGCGTAATTGATTACATAACATATCAATAGGACATCTCTCAAGAAGTCGCTTAACGTCGTTTTTCTTATTGCACTAAGGGCATAACTCACTGTTTTTAAAGGCATAATCTTAGTTATCGGGCATTTTTTTCGAGTCTAAAACAAGTTTAACGACTCAGTACAGATATATTTTTTATAAAGACACTTTTCGTATTGTTCCATAATAACTAGGAAAAAAATAGGACTAAAGCGACTATTGCCTTATTCCACAGTGTACATAAAGGTATAACCAGACAGATATAATATGTCTGTGGGTACAATCGAGCATTCCGTTTGTTACACTGGACAGGATTGTTCATACCCGCAAATATATCGTTTTGCTATTGGTTCATAGTTCGCAACAGAAAGCTTGTCGTTTCATTCCTTTAATGATTTTATGTCTTTTATCAATGTGGTTAGTATCATAAGTACTGTTATAGCTACAGAACAGACGCAGTTAAGGGAATAAATGAAATTATGTCTTAAAGTTTGTTAACATAAGTCGTTTTATTACCCTTAAGCATTAATAAACAAGGACGCAACTCGAAAAAAGCTTAAAAAATATATAGAAAATGTGACTGAATGCTTAACTAATAGAGCTTAGATACTTAGTACTTTTTATGAGTTCTAGCATTAGGTATACAATGCTAGAAATCATAAAAAATACTAATAATAAATGTGATCAAACCAATAATCAATAAAATAATGGTTTTTGCCTCTCCCGAAAAGTGTCGATTTTAAGTTATTCCCTTTTTCACTGGAAGCACTGATATGTGGAACACTTTTTCCGACCATTGATCATAACTAACATAATCGATATTTTTAGCGAAATTGAGTAATTAACATTACTGGCATCAGCCAAATGACTTCTACATAAGCGGTTTTTTCATAATTATTTTTTTTAACTTTAACTTCTCCGTTTTTTTTTAAATTTAACTGCCTCCGTGGCCGAACGGTTACCATGCCGGACTGCCACGCAGAGGTCCCAGGTTCGATTCCCGGGCCGAGAGAAATAGTTGTATGGCTTACAATTATTTCTCTCGTGAGTTTGGGTGTAATTTGTGGTTGTCTAAGTGTGTCCATGGCACCCGCGACACAGGGTTTCCCTAGTGCGGGGCTATGTTGAGTGTGTGCGTTATTATTATCTTATTTAGTTTCAGTTTTTATTGTTAAGCAAAATTAGCGTAATGGACATTTTTCAAAGAAAAATGACAAAGAGGGCAGAATATAAGACCTACATCCCCATAATACTGTCAGCAAAGTTGAAGCTTTCCCACTTTCAAAACAGTTTGTTGTTTGCAAACGAAGATTAATTGTGTAAAAACCTTTTGTTTACAATAAAAATATAATCTAGCCTTTAAACGCTATAGGTTGACGAGAATCATTGTGAGCACATTTTTACAGCACTGCGGAAGGGACTGGAAGCGAATTTTTGTAACCATAATGAACTTTATGTGAATCGTGTGAAGTACAAACTAAATACGAGTAAAAAACAAACCGCAAGTCTTCCAGAGAATTCTCGCGCAGTCACGAGAATACCCGCTGTTACCGTGTCGTATCTGCTTTGTACGTTAAACAATTGAAATAAACTTCATTATGCTATGTACAATTTCGTTACAAAAATTCGCTTCCATTCCGTTCCACGGCAACGTAAATTGAGTCTGAAACTTTGCTTGATTTGCTTGAACTTTGCTGATTGTACAAGAGATCGTATTTTGGGAGCTAAGAACAACGTTGTACTTGTTTTTCCAAACATACACTTACGGTCAGCTGTAACCATGGGACTTGTAAAGAGCCCGAAACGTTGGTTTGTTTGAAAAACAAAATACAAGCGATGTAGTCCGAAAAATAGTATCGGAATCGCGAAAACCTAAAAACTCTATAATATGTACAACAACATTTTGTGATGGTCTTTACTCACACAGATATCTGCATAGAAAACGTTTTATCGCCAGTGAAATTACATGTGATAGATGATATTGATATGATATGATGTAAAAGTTGGTAGCTGCATGTCACGTAACGTGCTATCAAAAATGTGACGATAAGCAACGTACCTGAGATGATAATAAAGCTATTTCGAGATAGTGCATTAGGACATTATGAAAGATATTAGTTTCAACTTTCGCTCTTTTTCAAGTTTACGACATTAGATTAGTTATACGCTTTATGTATCGGTTTTGAAGGGTAAGAGTGCTGGTGAAATTACAGGCACATGGAACTTGTCAATTTATGTCTCAGAGTAACGGGCGAAGTCGCAGTAAGTACTCCTCAGATCTTTGAGATTTAAAGCTCTAAGTGGCACTGCAACTGTTACGGACAGGCGTGTAGTTTACCATCAGGCGCACGACTTGTTATAAAAAAAAAAGTTAAAAAAAAATCTGCATAATGCATGGACTGACAAACAATCCGATAGTCCACCTGATTGTAAAGTGTTTACCGCTGCTAGGTAAGGAAGTTTCATAATATTGGACAAATGCAGTGCAGCAGCAGTGGAATTCGTCGTAAAAGAGTTTGTCCGGGGAAGTTCTCACTGCCATTCCCTGCAGGCCGTCGCCGAGTCGTCCCAGTAGGATGCGCAAGTGGATTCTGGGGCACCTCTTTATGGCGGCGGTGAGGTTAACAGGTGGGTTCAAGTGGGTATACTGGGCTACCGCCTAGAATCCCCGTAAAACCGCTTGCTGCTTACCCGAGCCGTATGCGTAATGAATTTCCCAGCTCAAAAAAAGAAAGTATTGTCACCATACTATTTCTGCAGCCAAACAGTGAGCGTTTCTGCGTTCCGGCTTTGAAGTTCTTTGCAATTTATAGCTCTGAGTGGTGCTGTAACTGTTACGGGTAACTGTAACTGTAACTGAAATGATGCAACGCCTGTAACCGTTGACTCTCCCTAAATTTCCCGCCGAAACACAGCAATGGTTTGCGTAGAGATGCTTGTCACCAGTAAAATATAGACATCGATCAGTTTTGAGTATGCATTCATCATGTTATCAATTTTACAATCTTTTCACTAATAGCAAACGTGAGTATATTGCTGCCGTCCTAATGGAAAGTGCAGTAACTAGCATTTTTGACGAATTTGAGTTAAATACATAATCGTTAACACCAAAACAAGATCTATATTTGGCTCTAACTCACGTATCAAAATTCCCATGGGAACCCTGTAATACAGGAAGTGAAACTGCAGTAACTTAGTACAAATAACATTTGCTAATTTAAAGTGCAGTAAGATTAGTTACTATGTAATTTTAAATTAAATGTAATTTTAAACTTGAGTCAATGGCGATGGAATTCTAGCAATAAACGCAGTATCTAATAGTTACTGCATTTATTGTATGTATTTTTTACAAAATCTACCACCTCAGAGCTAATTATAACTGCAGTATCTTACAATTACTGCACTAATTTTATTTATGTTTTACAAAATCTACCATCTTAGAGCTAATTATAAATGCAGTATCTATTAGATACTGCAGTTATTATAAGGAAATCAATAACATTTTGTTGTTGCAATTCTAATAAAACTGTAATAACTCGTATAGATACTGCAGTTATAATTGGTGAGAAGACGTCTCTAAGCTAGTGGCAATCAGTCATCGCACAGAGGTGTATTTCTAAGAAAAAATCGATCAAAAGTCGATATCAAAAATTTTGTTAAATTCATTTTGTAGACAAAACGTGCATCGTTAAAGCTTAATAACCGTCACACGACTAAACGGGAATTTCGGCGCTCCTGTTTAAACGTAATCTTTCAACCCAATTCTGTGTTTATGTGTGGTAAAAGTTTTGTAATACCTATTGATGAATATTAAAGAGGAAGGTACGTACTTTAATTTAAAATTATACTTTCCGGATTGCAGTTGATAAAGTGATATTTCTTACCGTATAGGTACATTCCATAATAAAAAAATAAGGTTTTTTTGTAATCACTATATTCATACATTGTTATGTATATCAGTTAAGGCTAGTTAACTTATGTTTTTGTGTGTAACTTAAAACTTAGTTATTCTTGATAATGTTTTTAAATAAAGAAGTCCCGCATGTACATTTTACATAGACTTTTGTTAAATTCTGATCCTTTTTTGAGCAGTACAATGCAAATGCCACAGAAAAAAATCAAATATTTCTCCAGTGAGACATAGGAACGTCTGCTGCCGGAAGCATTAGACGCAACATCAACTTAGGTATAATGAAGATGGCGATGGGTCTTTTGACGAGGAATCCCATTAATATTATATTTTTTGCAATTAAGTTTCAATACTACGAAAAATATGTGTTTTAAATAAAATATAATGACTTTAAAGTTCTTTTTATTACATGTCAAATCGATAAAAATCACAAAATCATTTTGAGCAACTTTTGAGGTGAAATACTCCTCTGTGCGTCGTCCGCTTCCTGTGCGTAATGCGCAATATTTATAAATACTTGTGAAAAATGTTTCTTTTTTTACTTATAAAGTTGGTCTCAAGTAAAATATTTAATCAGAGAAGACTGAATGTTATAGCAGTTGTCATAGCATTAATATTAATAATAAAAAGAAACGTGATCTCAAATTGTAGTTCCTCAACTAAGTAATTGTAATAAGGAGACTGAACTTTTAACTTCAATATAAGGCAAGATTTCATTTTTTTATATTGTTTATTGTCAATCGAAATGTGATTAAGGGTTCATATATTTGGGAATAATATATCTGGGATTTGAACAAATAAATAATAAATTCTAATTTTATAAATGTACGAAATTAATATTATCTATATAAAATACTACATTTTCTCATCTCTTTATGTTCCCAATCCAATTAACACTTTCTCCGACTTGGGAAATAGAAATATAAATCATTTATTCCTTGAATAAGCAGTTGTGTATACAATAAACAATTGGACTCGAACTCTCACCGTAGCCTATCATGTACGCTTGTAACACTAGTGGCCATTACTCAGTCGTTGCTAACACAACAGAAGGGAAGGAATTAGCAAAAACTGCAGTAACGTAATAGATACTGCAGTTATTTATTATATATATTATTATTAACTTGTTTTTGAATATGTAGTTTCTAGATTAATTAGCAGCACGATATTTATCTAATAATAAGTGCAGTATCTAAGGTACTTACTGCCGTTATGGTTAGGACGATCAGTTGTGTTACTAGAGCAGTTGCTAAACATAAGTATATTTTTGAAATATTATCATACATTACCTTAACATACTTATATAAATATATCACATTACAATTCTTCATTCTTTTACCTTTCTATGGATATATGCCGTGTCGCTGTAACGTAGTTTTGAAGCTAGAGTAAATTTTAAACTATTTTCTTTAAACACGTTTTTCTTGAAAACAGGTTTGACTTAGTTACTCTTAGTTAGGAGGGCAGATTGTCCCCAGGAGGATATTTCAAGTTCACACGGTAGGACACAGATGTTAAAAATGTCCGAGCACATCTTAGCTGAATATGATTGTATTCATAACAACCAAAAATCTTAGCAAAATAATGTCACACTTTTTTTTCATACGCTCTATCGTTCTACACTAGTATTTGGCATAACTTATAAAAAGTTAGAATTATGCGCAAAAAAATTATTTACATATTTCGATTTCCATCCGATTCAAATTTTTCTATGTTTTAAAGTTAATAAAATTTCATCAAAATTGTAAGTAACGGTTAAAAATGAGCTAAGTATTTCTTTGACAAAACCAACAGGCGGGATTAATGGCTAATTTTCATACTTACACACAGAATTAGAAGCCTCATCTTGCATCGGGGCCCGATACTCATCACTGATGTCAAGAAACTGGTAGATAGCTTTGAAGCCTGTACCGTCCAGGCGATCATTGGAGCGAAATGTTACTTTGAAGAAATTCCTCTCAGATTCTACATGGAACTCCTTCATCTGGCCACAGTATCGGCCGTACAGGTTGTCCTCAGTCATGTAGTTTGAAAATTCGACGTAATCACTTGCTGATACAGCTTCACATCTACAGAAAGAAAATTTGACAATGAAATACATTTTATTAGTGTCCTTTATTTTATGAGTTATTAGTATCCGTCAAATTGCTTAATGCCACCGACATTAATAGAATAGTTTGTTCTGCATGCTGTTAGGGCTATTAACAACTTGGACCCCAAAGTGTCTCTGAGAGAAAATTTTAAGGAAATGAACAACACTGGCACTCCGTGGCAGAACGGTTACTATGACGGACTCAGAGGCCCCAGGTTCGATTCCCGAGAGAAATATTTGTATGGCCTACATTTATTTCTCTCGTGAGTTTGGGTATCATTTGTGGTTGTCTATGTGTGTGTCTATGGCACTCGCGACACAGGGTTTCTTTAGTGCGGGGCTATGTCGACTATGAGTGTGAGTGTGTGTCTTTACTTATGGTGCAGGATCTAGGGAGCGCCCAAAGACGCTCGCAGTGCAAGGCTTAGGGAAGTAGAGGGGCTATAATAATCTGGCTGTACTGAACAGAGTACTAAAAAACCGACCTCAAAAGTATGTGAAATTACTTCTATTTGCCAAGTTTTATTGATATCGGTTACCGGAAAGAGCGCAAACCCGGATTCATCCCCTAGTTCGCCACTGTACGAGACTTGACACAGGAGATAATAAAAATCAATTCTCACTACTCAAAGTATATTGAGAGAGAAAAAAGCCTTGAATTGGAGAATAGCAAAATCAACCAATAATTGCTCTTTATAACAAAAATTTAGGAGCTATTTATAAAAATGAATCTTCATGCGTGAATTAAATGGGACCACTATGGAGGTACCCTTTTTTCAACAAAAAAAGAAGAAGAAAAAATCGGTTCACAAATGGCGGAGTTATCACGTAACATACATACAAAAAAACGAAAGAATTAAGAACCTCCTCTTTTTCTGGAGTCGGTTAAAAATGAAATTTATGTTAGTTAAGAAGAATACTATTTCTTGATAGACACTATTTTTCCTCATTATTCCCGGAAAAAATTGCTTATTGAATGATGTAGTGTTTAATACATTTCATGATTTTTGAAGTGTAACCTATGCGCAATAAACATAATTACTACGTATATTGAATTTGAACTTCTTTTGAACGGGGACCTTTGCGAAAAGAAAATGAGATGAAATAGTACAAAAATAATATATAAAAAAAAGCATAATGTACAAAAAAACTTTTTTATGAATATACAAAATGTTGCATTTTTTATATATATTATGTAGGCAGCAAACACGCACACGGCCCGGCGGATGGAAAGCGATCACCATCGCCTATGAACGCCTGCAACACCAAGGGCGTCACCAGCGCGTTGCCAACCCTTTAGGTTTTCAAACCCCTTTTGTTGGACTCCATGCTGTATTACTACGGGAAAACTCCGACAGGGAGTTCATTCCACTACCTAATTGTACCTGTGAGGAAGCTCCCCTGAAACCGTTCTGTACGAAATCGACTCGGTTCCAGAGTGTGTGTAAGCATACGATAGTCAACAATTCTCATAGCACTCTTTGTACCGCGTCAAAGGGCCCAAGCTGGCATCCGGGGGTTTCCGCCCATTGATGGCAGCAGTATTCCATGTGGGGACGGACTTGTGACCTATAAAGTAGCAGTCCGCTTAGCTTCATTGAGCACACCGAACTTTTTGGACGCCAGCTTGACTTTGTCATCTAAGTGACTACGGAACTGAGCGTCACAAGAGATGTGGACACCAAGGATCCTGATGCTCTCCGAGATATTTAACGATTTGTTCTGAAACTGAAGGTACCTACAACTACACGTAATCATCTAAAACGTGTTACTTTCGCGGTTTGATAAGTGTATTTTTACATGTTAAAGTATCTTCGATCTATTTAAATAAATGGCGAGAAAGTCGCTGTGACTTTTAAGTCGTACTTTAAAGAAGAAAGACTTACGGTAAAACCCCCTCAACATCGAAATTCGTAAAATGTAGATGCACTTTCTCTGTCTCCCCGCCATGAAAGAAGTAAGTACACTCGGTGTCACGAGGGTATGGTCCGGGAGAGTTGGGAGACGCGAAGGTACCATTACGAGCTTCAGTGCTGTTGTACACGAAGGCGCAAGGAAACTCTTTTAACTGTCTTCCTGATGTTATGCCAAAATCTAGAACATAATAAACGTTGCGTTAGAGGGTCACTAATCAGTTTTTTTTTATGTAGGGGTAATAACCTTCAGCTCGTGAACGCACTTATGATAGCAAACAATTTTAGTAAAAAGTATTCATAAATTCAGGTTCAACACTTTGGTTTTTACACAAAACTGTTCTAACACATTTTAAACGGGGAATCTTCTTATTTGAATTTTTTTCTAATAGATATTACCTACTTATTTGACGAGTATGTTTACGATTTAGGCGACAGGTAAAGGTGGTAAATTAAATAAAATCAAGGACCAAAAGAAGTAACCGGGCATTTTAGAGCGTGCTAAATTAGACAACGAAACATAACTCTAAGAAAACTTTTAACGGTAGTTCTTTATTGTTGCAATTTATATTCTAATGACTACGCATTAAAACACCTATAAGGTTTATCTCTTTCGGTTTATGGTTTAAATCAGATTAAACGATACATAATGCTAGTAGAGTAAACAGGGATGTCGTATATACGTAAAGATCTGAAACGTTAATAACTGTATCAGACGTTAAAGTATCTATGCTACTAAGTACCGGTATTCCATTTAATTGCTTCTGAAAAACTTACTTTCTACAAATGAGTAAGAGATCTTAAATCCTCTAGCGTATCTGGAGGAGTGTGTTCCTCGGAATTCGAGCATTAGCTTCGGCCCGTTCGACATGATCGGCTTGGGTAGGTCGACGCCACAGAACGTTTCCACTTTTTCTAATCTTCCGTCTACGTTGATAAAAGCTTGCATTGAATCCACGTTTGTGCAACTGTAATTGAAGAAAGAAATACTTAATACCTTACGATCAAATAGATATATTAAATATGTATCTAGATTGAAAAAAAATAAACACCTGGTCCAAAATACTGGAGCCAGTGACATAATTATTAGAATCGCCATCGACAAAGTGAAATTAGCCGAATTAGTCTTAACTGGTTATCAAAACATATAATGGCATTCCATGAATAAGATTGGTAGATAAAAGTTTATGAGATGTCAGTCACGTCAAAACGTTACAAATAAATATTTAGATAAGTAGGAAGGTACCGTCTAGAATTAGGCGCTAGATAGCTTTATTAATTTGGTGCCGGTGCAGGTGAATTTATGACCTGCTTTATACTAAATACATACTTATTGTAATTACTCATACTTACTCTAAAGAACCATCTGCAGATTTATACAAATAGAAGTCTTGAAATACTAGTCTAACTCTTTCTTTGCCTCTGCCAAAAAATTCATAGTGGCAATGGGTGTTCGGGGGGTACGGCGACGGATAGTGCGGTGATGTGAGCGTGCCGTGCTTAGTTCCATCACTGTTGAATTCTTGGTGACAAGATGATGCTGGAAAGATAAAAAGAATTCTCTATAAGAATATTCAATTGTTACCGAATCAATGCTTTTAGCGTCGTCTGACGCATGCGTGGAACAGAACGTAATATTGATTAGAGCGGGTAAACGTTGTTGTCATATTCAATACTAGTTACAATATATCGGTCATAATCTAGTGCTACATTTGGGTTTGCGAGTTTTGATATACTTTTTCCAATTTTCACAGTTCAGTAAGTTCAGTAAGTTGATTAGTGTTCGTTATTGTTAAAAATTTCCTACAGTAACTATTGCACGTTATTAAAACTGAAATTATCTATAAATTGCAAAAAGAAAACTACGTAGTCAATAACGGTCTCTTAGCAAGTTGTAAATTACAATTCCCCAAAATAAAACTTTATTTACAGTTGTTAAAACGACAACCCTGTTAATTTAATACTATCAAGTATTCATTGCACAATCTATCTATAATCCACACCCCTAGTACAGGCACACGTCATTCTGACATTTAGGCCGGCTTGTTGCGACTTGCTGGTTTGTTGATTATGTCGTGGCTATGTTTATTCTATTCTTGTTAAAAATGATTATAATACGTTCGTAACCCTTTAAAACGGTCGCAAATGTTATAAAATTAGTGTGTGACTATTGAAGTGATTTCGGTGAAAATTTGACATAAAAAATAACAATGACGGAATTACAACCGTTTTTCGTTGATCGTGCGAAACAGAGCCGTGCTTGCTGCAAGGGATGTAAACAAAATTGTCTAAGTGGTGATTTAAGACTCGCTAAACTAGTCGCTAGCCCTTACGGTGAAGGCCAACAAATGAAATCCTGGTACCACGTTGATTGTTTTATGGACATGCTTCTAAAACAACGTCCTACAACGAAACGCGTAGATTCAATCGACGACATTGGAAACTGGGACGCTTTGAACAAGGAGGATCAAAAGTTAATAATAAAGAAAATAAATGAAACGGAAAAGTTGTATGAAGAGAAAAATAGTGGGAAATATAAAGCGAAGATTATTAAGAATGAATCTTCGTTTCATAAGAATAGTTCACATTCTACAGACAAAAAAAATAAGGGCGAAGATGATACTTCTAGTTCCAGTAAAGATATTGGTGTTGAAGATAATAAGTTTTATTTGCTTTCAAAATTGTGTAAGAAGATTGCAGAATTAGATGCGTACACAGGCAAAACAACAGCTGTTAAAAAGTTTTTTACAAAAGGGTCGGACAACACGTCCTTTAAGGGTGATTTAGCATTATGGTGTAAACTACTATTACCCCAAGTTAGTAAAAGAGTTTACAATTTAAAAAGTAAACAACTTGTGAAATTATTTTCAAGAATTTTTAACACAGACCATGATGATATGTTAACACATTTAGAACAAGGCGATGTAGCCAGGACTATTGAAAGGTTCTTCTCAAAATCAAAAACTGTACGACCTGCAAATGAAAGTACATTGACAATACATGAAGTAGAAAATTTCCTTGAAGACCTATCAAAATTAACAAAAGAGGAAGAACAAATACACCATTTTAAGAAAATTGTTAAAAAATGCACTGCAGAGGATTTAAAAATGCTTATACGGTTAATCAAAAGTGATTTACGTATGAATGCAGGTCCAAAACACATATTAGAAGGTGTTCATCCAGATGCATATAATGCATTTCAAACTTCAAGGGATTTAAACATAGTGATTGATAGAGTTCTTTCACACGGAAGTGGAGTAAACAATAAAGATGCAACACAGAAAAGTGTAGAAGCAAAGCTTGTTCTAATGACTCCTGTGTTACCAATGTTGGCTGAAGCTTGTAAATCTGTTGAGATGGCAATGAAAAAATGTCCAAACGGAATGTTCTCTGAAATAAAGTATGATGGAGAAAGAGTCCAAGTTCATAAAAATGGAAATGAATTTAAATATTTTTCAAGAGCTTTGAAACCTGTAATGCCACATAAAGTTAAACATTTTAAAGATTATTTGCCCCAAGCATTTCCTAAAGGTGTTGATATGATATTGGATGCAGAAGTATTGATGGTTGACATTAATACAGGGAAACCATTACCATTTGGCACTTTAGGTGTTCACAAACAGTCGGAGTTTAAAGATGCCCAAGTTTGTTTATATGTTTTTGATTGCTTATATTACAACGGGAAGGTATTGATAGATATGCCTATAAGAAAACGGAGGGAGATTCTTCTTGAACACATGGTTGAAGTAAAGAACCATGTGATGTTTTCAGAACAAGAGTTGATTAAGAAGCCTGCTGATTTGGCAAAAATGATAGCTAAGGTGATTGTTAAATTTTTTTTTACGTAATTTTCAAAGTTAAGCTATGTCCTAATCCTTGTTTAACATATTTACAGCTAACCAAAAATCAAAAGTTTATTAGATATTAATAATGGAACCAAAATGGGGTAGATGAACATACTGGTGTGGGTTGTTTTTTGTTGGTCGCTGGTTTTTATGTTTGTGAATTTAAGAGGTCGTCATGTTGCCCACACTGGTCTTTCACAGACTTATTATGTATCTATTTAATTTTCTGTGTTCACTTGGCATCAAAATGACAATGAAAAGCTTGCACAGCTTATTTGCAATAATGCCTTTCAAAGTGAGGAGTTTTCTAGTTTCAAATTAGTGTGTTTTGTTAGAATAGGGACAAAGAGGAGGTGGGTAGATCACTTGTATTAAAAAATACAAAATGCAGGTAAAAAAATAATCTATGAATGTTGTGACATTTTATATTTATATATATGAATGTGACATTCATTACTAATATTTGCGATATACTATTTTTTTGTTTTAAATTATTATACTTGTACAATTTCAGGTTTTACAACTTGGTTTAGAAGGTTTAGTTTTAAAAGATCTGGAGTCCACTTACGAGCCAGGAAAGAGGCATTGGTTGAAAGTGAAAAAAGATTATCTCTTTGATGGAGCTATGGCTGATACTGCAGATTTAGTTGTACTTGGTGCATGGTTTGGTAAGTGGAGAAACTACATTGAGTAAAATACATTTTTAACAAATGCAAAATTAAGTTTAATTGAAACTTAAATAAAAACAAAAACCTTTTTTGTGTTATCAATAGCTAAATTATTTTTGTCTAGCAGGATAAATTTATCCATAGAATGCTGTTTCATATTTGAGCCCATATTACTTGACCTAAGTGCGGTGGTGGGGGTGGAGTCAGCCTGCTTGGCAGGGTCGGAGTCAGCCTGCTTGGCAGGGTCGGA